GCTGTCTCCCTGTGCATAAGCAGCCCTTCCTTCTCCCATGATTGTTCTCTCCAGGGCATGTGTCTACTTGAGGTAAATGTTTAACTCACATACCTATCTTTGTTTGGCTGGAAACCACAGGTGTGGGTTCAATTCCAGACCTGCAGGGCAGATTGCTTCTTTAATCACCAGTTTTCCTCCCCTTTACAGGTCATGCTGGGAGGGAAAAATGTGGAAGATGGTTTTGGAATCGCATTTCGTGTTCTGCAGGTATGACTTGGATTACTTGAGATTGTACCAGGGCTGATCAGCACCTGACCACAGATCTGTGAGAGATTATTGTTCAGAAAATATTTATCCCAAGAAAAGCAGATTTACATAACATCAAGTGTGAAATCAAGGAGATGGCTATTCTAGAATTAGGTCAAAATCATGACTCGAGGCCAGTTTGCCAGAAATCAAGTAACCAACAACAAATCCATCAAAAACTATCAAATAATACAGTTGACCTCTGAGCAATGTGGGGTTAGGGGTGCTGACCCCCTGTGCAGTCAAAAATCTGCATATAACTTTTGACTCCCTGAAAACTTAACTACTGATAATCTACTGTTAATGGAAGCCTTACCAGTAACATAAGCAATCAGTTAACACAGTTCTTACCATACAGCTAAACAGATAAGTGTACTGTCTGTACAACATGATGATTATTTACTACTCATTAAATGGAAGTGGACTGTCATAAAGGTCTTCAAATTGAGTGGGCTGAGGAAGAAGAGGGTTTGTCAGGCTGTTTCAAGGGTGGCAGAGGCGGAAGACGGGGAAGAGAGGAAGGGCAGGCAGGAGAGGCAGGCACACTCAGTGTAACTTTATGAAAATACGTCATCATTTCTGTCTGACTCTTTTGCTTTCACATTTCTCTAAAAATGTTTCTAAATGGTACTAATCCTTCTTCAACTCTCTGCTTTAGATTTAGTGCCCATGTCCTAAAAGAAGTCAGAAGCCTTCTTGAATAATCAGAACACTTCTGCCAGATGGTTTAATGTAGATGTGTTTTCTGGCACTGCTTTTCTCATGTCGTCTTCCTCATCCTCTGGCACTGGTTTGGAAGTACTCATCTCCATCAAATTATCTTTTGTTAATTCCTCTGATGTGGAGTCTTTTAGGTCTTGAAATCCTCTATCTTTATCTTGGGAAAAAAATCCACATGTAAGTGGACCCATGCATTTCACACCTATTTGTTCAAGGGTCACCTGTACCTTAAACTGGGTCTAGGACATCTTCCCCCAGTCATTGCCCTGCACAGCCTCTGCTTGCCCTCCCAAGGGAATGTGACAGAAGGTAGAGCCCAAGGGTTTCCTGGGCATCAGGAGAGTCACTGGCAGCAAGGGCTGCCTCTCCATCCTCTGTATGTACAGGAGCTGGCCCTGGAAGCACATTTTCTATTGCTTGTGATAAAGGACACAGATGTGGCTGTGACACTAGGTCAGGGACTAGAGTAAGGTCTCTCTAGACACCACCCCCGATGCTCACACCCTGAGAGCCAACTGAGATCACTACTCCTCCACGGAAGGCAGTGTCCACACACTGTGCATGACTTAATGACTTTGTTAAGTAATTGGTCCAGTTTCTTTCTTCTCACACATTTCCAGTGTTGGACAAAGGTCTCCACACACAGGTATCCCCAGGTGAGCGGCAGAAGGGCAGCTCCTCACAGGCCCAGAAGCTTAAGGGTTGTCCTAGACCAAGTTTAAGGTTTATCTGGAAGTTTTCAGCAAGTCATTCATTTGATGAATTGGTCTGCTTCTGAATATAAAGGCAAAACACCAAGTGTCCAGAGCAGCAAACACCAGCCCTCAGCATCTCTTTCCCAAGGGAAAGGTGACTCATGAGTCAGAGAATTTGATTTGCTTAGATTAGAATATTTTCAGGAAGTGACATGGCAACAAGCGTAATATACTACTTTAGACATTAAGATTGAGATTTTGGTGGATGCCTCCTAAATGTCTGCCCAACTCTAACCCCAAAGAGAACCATTCATTGTGTTTTTCTTATACAGTCAATCCTCATTTGCAAATTCCATATTTACAAAATTGCCTGCTTGCTAAAGTTTATTTCTAACCCCAAAATCAAGACTCTTGGTGCTTTCATGGTTATTTGTGGACATTTACAGAGTGATGAAAAGTTTGAGTTGCCCAACAGACATATTCCCAACTGAGATCAAACAAGGCTGTCCTCTGCCTTCTTGTTTTAGCTTTTATATTGTAAACAAGTCTCTGTTTGAAGCTATTTAGTGCCACATTTTTTGCATTTTTGTGCTTTTTGTGTGTGATACTGCTGTTTTAAAATGGCCCCCAAACCTAGTGCTGAAGTACTATGTAGTGTTCCGACATACAAGAAGTCTGTGATGTGCTTAAGGAGGAAATACATGTGTTAAGTAAGCTTGCTTCAGGCATGAGTTATAGTGCTATTGGGTGTGAGTTCAGTGTTCATCAATCAACAATATATTGAACAAGGTTTCTTTAAATAGAAGCACACATAAAACAACCTTATTCAATCAGTTGATGAAAATGTGACCAGAGTCTTGCAAGAACCTGATCCTTTATTTCCCCACAGCAATATCAGTTCAGTATCCAGTAATTTAGTGTGTGCAGCAATTTATAGGATGTAAATACTATAAATAACGAGAATCAACTCGTTTTGCATTTGCTGTTTTGGCTACAATCGATTTGGCTTTTCTGTACTGAGCATTGTTGTTGTTAGGTGCCATCGAGTAGTCTCTGACTCATAGTGACCCTGTGTACAACAGAACAAAACACTGCCCAATCCTGCACCAGCCTCACAATGCTTGCTATACATGAACCATTTTTGCAGCCACTGTGTGAATCCATCTTGTTGAGGGCCTTCCCCTTTTTTGATGACCCTCCACTTTATCAAGCATGATATCCTTCTCCAGGGAGTAATCTCTTCTGAAATGACCAAAGTAGGTGACAAGAAGTCTGGCTTCCAAGGAGCATTCTGGCAGCACTTCTTCCAGGACAGACTTGTCCTTCCTTTTGGGAGTCCATGGTACTTTCAGTATTCTTCACCAAAACCACAATTCAAAAGCATCAACTCTTCTTCAGTCTTCCTTATTCATTGTCCTGGCTTTCACATGAATATGAGATAATTAAAATATGTGCCTTGGGTCAGAGACACCTTAGTCTTCAAAGAGACATCTTTGCTCTTTAACACTTGAAAGAGGAGAGGTTCCCGCAAGATGGCAGACTAGGCAGAAACACTGCACAGACCCTCTTCAACAAAGAAAAGGGAAACCAATTAACACAGACACAGAAGGTAATCTTGGACCCCTGAGCCTTGAAGGGAAGGATATAGAAGTGGACTAAACCCCAACTAGCAGAAGAATTTGAGTGAAAATACCAAAAGAGGAGACATA